AAAATGTGGCCAAGGACAATACATACGTTGGGTTTTCAGAGAGAAATTTTGAATGCAAATTTGATAAGTAGTCTGTTAAATCTTTTGTTTGCATTTTTTTACCGTCGCATAACTTGGCATCTTTTTTACCCGGATTGGTTCTACTATTACCAGGTCGATTAAGAAACTCGAGAACATCTTTTTGGCACCTTCTTGTGACAGCTTTTCGAACAGCATGTTTGGAAATCGTTTGCCTACAGGCTATTTCAGTTGTCTTGCTTAAGCCTCTGATGCAAAGATATTTTTTTGTTATTTTTCCAGATATCATCCGGACAATTGGCAATTTATTCTTTGCCTTGGCATTATGCGTTATTTCATCTATCAGTACATTTCCAAGTAACAATTTTCGTTTGACTTGATCAGCTCTTTTAGGTGTTACATTTGAAGAATCTACAAGAGAATTAGCTCGACTCTTTGGCGTACTGGCAAAAATGAGAATCTTGACGCGTGATAATTTGTTTCTCAATCTTTCAATCGCTTTCTGTTTATTTTTGCAGCTCTTGCTTCCACTTTATTGCACTTTCTGTTCACTCTTTGTAGAGCTCTTGCTGTTCTGTGATTTCTTGGTTTATTGTTTGCAGGTATTGGTAATTTGTCTATTAATCGAGAAGAATCATAACCACTTTCAGTTGTCTCTTCATCGTCATCATCATCATCAGCATCTCTTGAATGTCTAGCTTGAATCAATGTCCGATGTTTACGATTTCTTTCTGCATCTTTTTTATTTTGTTTTTCTGTACTCTAGTTGTTTCTTTCTTGAGATATTTTTCACCTTCTTAAGCTTTCTTTCTCTCTCGATATGACCTTTGAATTTCGGCCCTAGATTTAGCCATTGGAATCTTAAAAACACAAAAAAATATGTATGTTACTTACAGAAGATATTTACGTTACCCTAGCTAAAACGAGCATTGAATACAACTCAATAATACAGAATATATATTCATCTATTGCTTTGCACATATACAATTTGGACAGATGTTTAGACATGCATATCAGTTTAGGTAATTTTATCCAATTTCATTTACGGTATCAGCACCGGTCGTAAAAATATATTGATTAATTAGACAATTGTATTTTACAAGTATATTTGAATCTTTCCGAGTTGCAGCTCTGGATTTTGTTTTGAAATATGAATGTTAAACTTAGCAAATATTGTGATATTTATGTTACCATATGTAACGTAAATATCAAGGTCATTTTGATTAACACACTAGGAAATATACCTTTCACCTTGTTATCATCAAATTTGTCGACTATAATCTGAGCCAAAATAAGTTCAACACCCTTATAAACATCTGTGCACCTACCTTTCAAGGGTAATATATCTGGTCCCCGTTTCATCTATACAAGTTTATCATTGGTGTTATTGTTTTGAATAGTTAACCACGTTACTTTTCTTTCAAGGTCATATTCAAGGCCAATCTAGGCCTAACTACGAGCTTTAAACACGGGAAAGAACTCTAATTAAGGGTCCTGGTAACGTAAATATTGTTAACGTAAACATCATTTGAGGCAATTTAATACCCATTCATTTTATGTTTGTTTCGATTGCACCAGTCGTCATCATTTAATGAATCGTGTATGTTGTGTTTATAATATGGAAACAGCAAATGTTCAATTTGGGAATGTTTTAGATCAAAATATATTGTAACGTAAATACCATTCCAAATTTTCACTTTCGATCATCTATTATAAAACTTATAATAACAAATAACGCAACCCATATTTCGTAACAAAGTGTTTTTGTATTTGCATTCATTGAATTATCTACAGAAAAAACCTTTTCTTTATTCAGTCAAACATAATCAAGACCTTGTCTGGGGAACCACGTAACAAGTCGATAAATTGGCGTATTTTGTTTTGACGACATTTTTTACATTCAAATTCCAGTTACATACTGGGGAAACTGAGTCAAATTTGTTGTTTTTAAATACTAAAATGGTTCAACATGCGAAAAATAACTTTTTAATATGTAGTTACATATTGTTAAAAGTTTTAATGAGTATTTTTATCAGAATATCCATAAAGCGGCGACAGTAACGTAAGTATCGTTTTCCAGAATTGGAGCATAAAACTCTGGATTCGGATTTTGAAAAGTATTGATAATGTTTATCTATGCTAGTTTACGTTTATCTTTATTAGTCAACACATAAAAACACTTCTTGAAGATTGTATTACATGAAATTATATCATCTGTATTGTAGACATACAAATTTTAAATTTATTTGAGAATGGGCCTTTAGTCACTAAAGACTGTTTTATCATTTCTGACAGCTGCCAGTAGGCATATGTTACCTTGCCTGGCAAGCTATCTTTGTCATAGCGTTGACTACCGAATGACACAAATTTGTAATTGTTAATTACGCTGGAAGTAGGACAACCAAAAGTGAAAACATTTGTCTTTATTGATAACGGGAATAAATCTCAGCAATGAAACATGGCTAATGTGAGTTTTTTTTACCGAAAAGAAGAGCATGTAAACATTTAGTAATGTAAAGTGATAAACTATTTAAGGTACCGTAGTGAAAAGACACATGACTTAGATAACATTTAGTAGTAAAAGGTGTATTTGACATTCGGTAGTTAGCTGTAAAACTGGAAGTAAACATCGCACAATCGCACAACAAAAGTGAAAATGCTTTTGAATATCAAGCACAATAACTTTTGTTCTTGTCAAGAGGTCAACAAAGGTTAAATGAAAAAAATATGAGCCTTTAAAGGAAGGCTCTGATCATAAGTTAAAACACAAAAGCTAGATTATTCGTAAATTCATTTTGTTCAGACACAACCCTAAGAAAATCAGCGACATTCCCCGGTAAACATTCTTATACGCCCAGATGAAAATGTGGTGATTCCAAAAAGAAAAAACAGGCAGCAATAACCAATCACAGAAGACTTTTTGATGGGATCACCAATACCACTAGTAGTACAGCGATTTGATGTATACTAAACTTGGTGTAATAAATAATAAAACTTGACATCAAATACAATCCTTTAATACCCAACGTTTCGTCAAAAAAGTTTTGACTTCATCAGGGGAAGAAACAAACTACAAATGGTGGAAGACCTCATAAGGTTTATGACATTACATCTTATGTGTGGGCGTATAAAAACAAAGTGCTCATGGATAACATTATGAAGAGAGATCTTCAAAATACACACATATTTTCATCTATGCTTCTTACACATTAGCTTTCATTCAAAATAATGTGGACAAACAGATTCAGATTTAATATTGGTCCTTGGTTCAGACGAACTTCAGACTCAGTTACTAATTTTAAAACATTTACAATCTGTTTTCAAGATGTTAGGTAATACCATGGTTAATACCAAGGTTCTGTTCCCCAGGAGGTAATGTTTACCCTTGGTTATATTTATTGCCCTTGTTCTTGGAAACGCGTTCAATTTTTAGCTTGGAAAAACTCTGGAATTTTCACGAAACTTGGCATGAGTGTTTGTTATCACCCAAGGATAAAGCCTATTGAAGATCAGAAAAATCGAAAAATAATTAGTATGAGTTATTGCCCTTGCTATTGAAAACGCGTTCAATTTTAGCTTGTAAACACTCTAGAAGGTACAATTCTTGAAGGATTTTGACGGAACTTGGTGTGAGTGTTTGTAATTAACGAAGGATAAAACCTATCGAAAATAAGAAAAATATTTAGTATTGAGTTATTTCCCTTGTTCTTGAAAACGCATTCTATTTTTGTAAACAGTCTAGTAGGCCCAATTCTTGACAGATTTTGATAATATGGTGAAATTGTTTTTTGTTACCCATGAGTGCACCCTATCGTAAATAAAAGAATCCAAAAAATGTTTAATAGGTGTTATTGACCTTGTTCTTGAAAACTCTTTCAATTTATAGCTAGAAAACGATAAAAGGCATGATTCTCGCTGGATTTTGACAGGAATCCTGATATCAGGAACTGGCCAAAGTAGTATCATATATTGATGCAAAGTTTAAAGGTTGACAAATGCATACTTTGTGAGTTAAACAAAATTTCAATTTCGTTGGGTAAATGTAAATGATTTACAGTAAATCTAAAAAGGATTGCCACGTCCACCACAAAAATTCGGCCATGGATGTTATCATGTGTACAATGTTCAATGTTTTACGTTATAGGCTTGAGTTTATATGGCAAAAACCAAATTACGCATAGTTACTATAGAAGTCAGTGCAAAATTATCAAATTTTAAAAAGTGTGATGAACATGTGTGATATATCATCAGAAAGGAGAGATTGCACACATTAAGAATATAAAAGAAATTTTGTAGTATGTAAATAGTATCTAAATATTGTGACTGAGATTTTCAAAGATAAAAAGGTCACAAGGTCACCAAAGGTCAAGGTCACAAGATTTGTGCCTTGAAATTTTGTCCAATACTGAAAAAACTAAATAACTAAAAAGTAAAATTAAAAAAATAAAAAATCAGTTTCCTAAGTTTTGTTAGCAATCGATACTTTAGACATCACTTAAAAAAAAAACCCGATTAACCCCTGAGGCTGAATGTCATGTCAAGATGGCGGCGTGTTCCATACTTCTGGGACAAATTTTATCATTTCAAATCTTTTATTGAACAATTTTATCTTACTGCAAAAATAATTTTTCAAATAAAATTTCAAGTTTACTCACGAATGGCCCCAAAACTTTAAAATTTTGTAGACATATTTGTTGACAATCAAAATGTTGAAAAAATGTCAAAAAAATGCTTAGAAAGTCAGCGACGAAAGTAAAAATTTGTATCCCCAAAAAATGGTCCATAGTGTCTTTGGTTGCCTATTTGGACATTTACCCTGCTTTGTGTGACAATCTTCTTTTGTATCAATACTTGAACTTGTAATAACAATATAATAGCAGGGTACTGAAGTCTGATTCACATAGACCTCCATAAACTTACCCTTACCAAATAAATCAAAATGGTATACAAATATTAAAATGATTCTTGTTTTTTTTTTATAGGTTCAACTGGTGCCGCTGGTCCAAGATTATTTACTATACATCAAGTTGATATTAATACAGCTAATCTTCCTAAAGCTCACACATGGTAAGATCTGTATTAATTTCAGGGTTCATGATTCATTAGAAATATTAAGACAGAACCTGAAACATGTTGTTGCGCATAGTTTGAGCTGGATGTTTTGTAATTAAGTTCCGTTTGAGTTGCCAAATGTGTTTTGAGAATTAACTACTATTTTCATATTTTTGATGATTAAATACATGCACATGAATGTAAAATGGTTGTGTTTTCAGTCAGTTCCAGACATATTTTACGTTCATTTGTGACTCCAGCCTTATATAAACTGATCAGAAAATAAACGGTGCATTTTTGGAATATTAGGACATAATCATGTATGACCTAATTTGTTTTTTTGCATTGTAATAAATTTTTTAAGACTTTAAAAAGGCCAGTTTATGACCTTCAACTGATAATACCTATTTTGTTCAGTGTAACAGTTGCCAGGTGACACCTACTGAGAATTAAATCAATATTAAATCCACATAAATCAAATGTGGATCTTGGAAAATTCCAAAGAACTATTAGAAATTTTACAGTCTAAATTACTTTCAAGAGTCTCATCAATACAAACCTTTGATTTTTCAACCCTTTACACAATTGAGAACATTTTTGTTGAATTTATGAACAAGCGGTAGGTATCCCCATGGGCACCAATTGCAAGTCTCTGCTTGCTGCACTCGTAACAAACGACTATCTAAGCTTTTTAATTTCACAAATATTACTTATATAATTCTTCAATAAATGAACCTTTTAGAGGGTTTGCGAGCTAAAAATTGAACGCGTTTTCCATAACAAGGGCAATAACTCATACTAAATATTTTTCAATTTTTATGTAGCCGTTGCCCCTGTCTGTCTGTCTGTCCACAATTGTTTGTGGACACGATTGAGAGCTGGTTTCTTAATAAATTTTGACGAAACTTGGTGGGAGTGTTTGTAATCACCCAAGGATGAACCATATTGAAAATAAGACATATCGAAAAATATTTACTATGAGTTATTGCCCTTGTTCTTGAATTGTTTGTGGACGCGATAGAGTGAGGACACGATAGAGAGCTTGTTTTTTGATGGAATTTGACAAAACTTGGTGTGAGTGTTTGTAATCACCCAAGGATGAACCCTATTGAAAATCAGACGAATCGAAAAATATTTACTATGAGTTATTGCCCTTGTTCTTGAATTGTTTGTGGACAAGATAGAGAGCTGGTTTCTTGATGGATTTTGACGAAACTTGGTGTGGGTGTTTTTAATCACCCAAGGATGAACCCTATTGAAAATCAGACGAATCGAAAAATAGTTACTATAAGTTATTGCCCTTGTTTTGAATTGTTTGTGGACATGATAGAGAGCTGGTTTCTTGATGGATTTTGACAAAACTTGGTGTGATTGTTTGTTATTACCCAAGGATGAACTCTAATGAAAGTCAAACGAATCGAAAAATATTTACTATGATATTTACTATATTTACTATATTTACTATATTTACTGTCTGTCTGTCCAATGTGGGCGTATTACGATGGCATCGCTATTTTTGTGATTTACGATAGGGTTTATCCTTGGGTGATTACAAACATTTACACCAGTATATGTATTTTATTGAAAATACTAATAATAACTTTGGTTCATGAATATCCTTTCTACCAATAGTAGTATATGACCTTATGGATTTTGCGCAAAACTTTTGAACCAGTTTTAACCAGTTCAAAAATATCTCTTTTTTTTCTGATCCGAAAGAATCTTATCTCACACAAACACTCACACATCAGGAAAATATTATATTCTATATACATTTCAAAAAACATTAAAAATCTATATCCCCTATAATAATACAGTATAAAATAACCCCATTAAAAATAAGTTGTCTTTAATTTTAGAACACAAACAAGAAATGTTCTAAACTGATTATTCGGGAGACGGTTTCTTTTTTTCGATGACTTCTCTAATTCCCAAAGTAGCCAGCTTTGTTTCAAACAACAAATCTCTCATTTTTTCTGAAGTGCAAGCTCTTGGTTCTGTTGCCAAAGCTGGAGTCAGTATAAGCGGCGCTGTGAAAAAGTCTGACGAACTGAAAGAACTGCAGTTATTAAGAGAACTAAGAAATAAGAGACTAGAACGACAAACATTGGAAAAACGAGGAAAGGGGTTTAAAATCATTGGATAAAAAATATTCATATTTAATAACTTTTAAAATGGCAAGTAAACATTACACACTGGATCCAATCTTTCAATTATATGATCCGATTCAATTTTCATTCAACAAGAAAAAGAGGATAACATAATCAAGGGACAAAAACCCAAATAAACCTTTGAAATTAATTCATTGTCTAATTGTTTGCTACTTTCCCATGCTTATTTCCGGTGCGATTTCAAAATCAAAGATGCCACTCAGAATCGAATTCAACAAACCAACACAACGTTAGAAAACAATTTCTTTCCATCTTTATTTAGCGAAATGGTTTTGGAACAATGTTGAAAACAGTTCTGTTTCCCAAAAACTACGATTCGGTTGCAGGATAGATTCCCGATGTCGGTAACGGTAACTGTAGCAAATGATGCAGATGAAGCTAGAATGAGAGTTATTGCTCGGAACACATTGGAAAGAGTAGCAAGTGGAGTAAACCATGGATTTGAAAAACGAGTGCTTCAATACAACAATTCTGTTGAGAACAGTAGTTGGGGTAATTACGTAAATTGGAAGTTGTATCCTTTATTTAGTCTGTTGGAACACAGAAAGGTTTCCATAGGTTAGCCATATAAAATTCATCTGCAAAGGGAAATCAACGATGATAAGATTTTCTTTGGAGAGAATAATTCAAATGCAAAATTAGAAATAACGAATCCCCAACTTTACATACCGGTAATTACTCCTTCCATAGAAGTAGAAACGAGAATATTCAAGATGTCGAAATAGCTTTTTTTCGTCGAAAGACGGTAGGTAGCATGACTTTAATGGGAGAATCCACCACGTGGCCAATCACCAACACCATCAGACCAGCACAATATTTAATGGTTGGTTTCAAGAACTTGCCAGACTCTCAGACGAACAACAATAATATCTTTAGAGTAGCAATGAACCAAAATCAAGATCCTATAATCCATAAAGTTCAAGTAAGATTAAACAATGATAATTATCCTAACCAACCTTTGACAATTTATCCTTCCAAAAAAAGATTATAACGAATTGAATAGAAACTATAAAAATATGTGTGAATTATTTGGAAATCCACCTCAGTTTGAATATATAGATTTTTCAAATAATCACCCAATCTTCTGTTTCGATCTATCAGCTCATAAAGAAGATCTTTTCAAAATGGGAGTAAATATTAATATCCATACCGATAAAACACAAGGAGAAGTAACCGGGTACTGTTTATTACTGGAAGAAGCAAAACATTTAATTAAAATATCAGATAGAAGAATGATAAGAATTGAAGAAAAAAATACCCCTTAAAAATGAAACCAGAAACTTTAGTTATGAAAATAATAGAAACTATCGAAACAAATTCGCCGACTCCAATAACTTACAATGGTAAAAAAGTGAATATAACCCAAAATTTTTTCGATAAATACATACATTGCAAAGTCAGAAATGATATAGACTTGGAAAGAATTAACACGAACGTAAAGTAAGGTGGGTTTTTACCTCTCTTACCTCTGATATTTGCTGGTCTTACCACAGCTGGTGCTGTTAGTGATACGGTGCTGACCAAAGTGCTGACCAAACTGTCAACGATAAGTAAGCTCAAGCTGCTGAAAAAGCCAAAAAACGCAGACACAATTTAGCAATGGCAAAGTTAGCAGCTGGAGATGAAAAGAAAGGTTCGGGAGTAGCAGATATATTAGGGACAGAAAAAAATTCGGAAATCGATTTAGCGAAGAAACCAAGAAAAGCGTTAACCAGGGATTAAACAGTATCCAAGACCAGATCGACACTGGAGAAATTGAAGTCAAACTCAAGGGCAATGCCATGTTCTTAAAACGTGCGTTCGGGTGAGGGAATCTTTATTTCAAAGTTTAAGGGAAACGGGGTGATTTTTGGTACGAATATATAATAAATAAAAAATGGGAAAAAAATTCAAACATTCGGATGTTTTTCCTAGTAACCCCATGCTCATGTGCATTTGCGGATGTTCTTGTTGTGGAAAAACGTACCTCGCTTTTAACATGTTGACAACATAGAACCTTTAAGATTTCGAGACCCGAACAATCCTATAATAAGTTCCTCAAAGCTTTGGAATACGTACCAAAGGAAGACGTTCAAGACATTTTCACTATTATGAAAGCAACGAAGACTTACAAGAGAATGCGGAAATAAAAGATATCTTAGATAGCTTAATGAGAGAAAAGAATCCGTCTCTCAATCTAGCCAACGTAAAAGTGTTTCTCAAGAAAAATGTCAATGATCTGGACTTGTCTAAAATTGACAGCAACCGAAGGAAACTTGATAATGTTTGACTACTGCGTAGCACAAAGAAGTCAAACCGTTCAACAAGAATTCTTCACGAAAGGAAGACATCACAACTGTCACTGTATTTACCAATCCCAATCCTTTTACCGAATGGACGCCACGTTTATCAGAAAGAACGCATAAAACGACAAAGGCTTGTTTCAAATCATTCAGTCGATTTGTAAATACTAGAAAACCTGCAGGTGAAAGAGTTATGACTGACATCTGTTAAAACAAATTTTATTTTTTTAAAAGTAAGTAGTGATTGGAATAATATTTTGAAAGGAAATAGAGAATATATCAAAGCTAAGAATAAAATAAAGACCCAGGTTGAAAATGATAAATTACAACAATTGGATTAACAGACAATCTACGAACTCTATTTCAACCAATATTAAAAACTCAAGAGGATATTAAAAAGAAATTAGCTTTAGAATATACACCCACGCCTCGTATAGATCACCCCGATCCAAAACCGATTGAATATAGTGGTATTATAATTGGGACATTAGATGATATAAATCGTCTTTTTTAAACCAGATTTACCAAAGAGCATTACACCAATTGTTGATGATGAGGGGTT